TTTGAAATGAATCCTAGCCACTGAAAAGGTATAAACTCCTACAGCGGAAATGAGTGCAAATCAAATGTCAATTTTTCAGTACCTTTGGCTCCAACAGCGTGCAGGAGTCTCATGTGTTTCCTGCGAAGCATGACCGTGCGGAAGCTTTCATCACACATCGTGCACTTGAAGATCTTTGTATTCAGATGGATGATCATGTGACGGTTCAGACTCCCGTTAGTGGTGAAAGAAGTCTCACAGACTTCACATTTGTAAGCCTTCACTCCTAATGAAAGCAAGAAGAACTTGATGAAATGTACAAGCAGGATATTTTAAGCTGTATTTTCACTGCAGATTCACCTGTGTGTGTGTTCAGGTGTGACTTGAGGACCCCAGAGGACACAAAGCTCCTTTCACAGAGGTTACAGTGGTAAGGTTTCTCTCCAGTGTGAGAACGAACGTGCTGCTTTAAATGACTGGACTTTTTAAATCCCTTATCACACATATTGCATCTGAAAAAACATATAGTCTCATAAATGGATTTTTTTAAAAAATCTGTAAAATTAGTGTAAATGTAAAAGTACAATGCAAAAATAAACAGTATACAGATAATTTTGCCACAGAGTTTCACTATAAACAAAAAATTTCCCCCAAATTTAATCTACTATTAACTGTTTAGCTATTCTGAATGTTTATCTTCTTTGTCAGCTATGCTTTTTGAAAAGTTCGAATATACTTGATGAAGAAAATGTTAAGCCAGCAGATAAATCTGGCTTTAAATGACTATAAGATTAAGTTAAAGGGGCCATGCTTTATTTTTAATAATATGTTGTTCATATCAGCCTAATGTGATTAGTTTACTCACAAAGTGTCTATTTTTAATTAAAATCATATTAAATCACTTGATTTTCTAGCCCAGGCTTAGTCCCAGACAATTTAACTTCAAAAGAATGATAAAATACACTAGAACTGTAGATTAACGAGCCACTAAAGAAATTACTTCATTACCCCAAGAGCAATCAGAGAGAAGGATTGTGTGGACCATCTGTTTTTATTGGCAGATTTGATTTGAAGTGTTTGTGTCACGCTGCATAGACTGATCCAGAGGTCGATGGTTTTTCAGCTAAATAAAGCGTAGACAGAGGCTCGTGTTTCCAGGGAGCTGCCAGCAGAAGCAACTAAATGAATAATCAAAATTAATTTTTGTTAAATGAGTTGTGACCGTGTTCAGTGGTAACTCAGATGTGAACGTTGACTGATTCCTCCATGCAACGCACTTTAACATGTTAGGTTTAATAAACCATTAAATAATCAATGAAACATGGTCTTGTTTTATTTTCTGAGTAAAAACATAAAAGCAAAATGACAAAAAGAACTCAGAAATAATTGAAAAAATTGAGGCTGCCCCTACCTGGATTCAAACAGTCATCAAATATTTATGCACTTTCAAATAAACTACACAAATACTCCCCTACTGCAACGGTTTTCCATTTATTAGCTTTGTTTCATCACAAGAGAAACTGAGGAAACTTACTGATAAACTCTCTTGTTGAGCTCATCTTCATCTTGGAAGTTCTGGTTCTGGATGGACAACTCGAGGTCTTCTTGACTTGGCTCCTGCAGTAAAGTGCTTGTCTACGCACAGATATGCAAATATATATGTTTCAATGGACGTCTTTTTTGGGTGTTTGAAAGCAATCGTCATCTAGTTACATTTATTATCAAATCACAGTGTTTTTTTTACCAAAAAACATTTTTGCACCAGAATCTGCAGTCAAACTTTATTCTACGTGTTCGTAACAACTCTCAACAATTATTCAGTTGCACTTCTGTTGGTGATAAGCTATCTTGGTAGAAAAAGACAATATCTATTCAGGGTAATGCAGGTGAAGTGGCTTGCCAAAGGCCAGAACTGTAGAATAAACCTGGCAGGGATCGAACCGCCAACCTTCCGGTTACAAGACAAATACTTTTGAGCAGTGTGAAGCAAATAAAATTGATTTAAGGTCAGTAAGCTCAGCCAGAATTCATATACAAGGCACACTGATAATTTTTTTTAATCAAATGTACAGACTTTAACTATTAGAAGTCTTGGGCCTTTTTGAGCAGTTACACTCTAACTCCTGAAATTGTCAAAATTCAATTCCAAGTAGTAAATTTTGCCTTTTTACGGCAAAATTCGAGAATGAACAGTTTTTATGCGTTATATAAAAAAAATCAAAAGTGTTGAGACCAAATAAAAGGAGTAAAAAAAAAATGAAAAAATCAAAAACTAGGTAAAAAACCAGGCGAACCTCTCCTAAACCTTATACATTGTTCTAAGCACCTTTTGTTCCACTGTGCTTTGTTTTGTGCAAGAATAAAAAAAAAACAACTAAAAATAACAATATAAAAAAATAAATAAATAATGATTCCTTATGACAGGTCTTCTATTTTCAAGGGTTCTCCCTTCTTTTCACCACTAGATGGCACTTTTGACACAGATTTGGGTTATATAAAACGAAACCGAAAGAGATCACATATTTTATATATATAAATAACGGTCCACGGGGATGTATATCCACGGGGTACACTTGCGTACCATTTCGGTATATTTTTTTAATTAAATAATATAAATTTATTATTAGCGCGATATTAAGTGCAGCGGAACAATGTTCCTAGGCGAGTTTCCGCACGGACGCTATTGAGTGACGCACAGTGGCACTGCACGGGTATCTGTGACTGTGAGAAATGGCAACAGCGAAAGAGAAGCCAGAGCTTGAAGACCCTCCCACCTCACTACGGTCTCCTGTTTGGGAACACGTTGGCTTCTCTGTTAAAATACATAACGGGGATAGACGAGTGGATAAATTTAAAGTTGTATGCCGACATTGTTCCACGGAGATCGGGCAGGCAACACATCAACATTTTCTACTGCTGGAGATATTGTCACTGCAACCAGATCTGTGCTCTCTTCAGAAAATGTGGATAGGTTAATCTTTTTAGCCAAAAACTTAAAACTTGAATAGTTAGTTTTGTTGATATACAAGCTGAAGCTGTTGCTAGTGTCAAAAGTTTTCAGGTCCTATTTAGTTGCAGTATTTCATTTTTTATTTAACAAATGTGTATTTTTTTATAAAGAGTGCAATTTATTTAAAATATCACCATATGTGTCACTTTTATTTAGTACCGTTACACCCCTAATATATATATATATATATATATATATGCATATATATATATATATATATATATATATATATATATACTATATATATATATATATATATATATATATATATATATATATATATATATATATAATATATAAACTCTTGTAATCAAGATTATATAAAATCATAATTCCACAGACGCTGTAATGCACACACACCCGAGCATGCAGGGACTTCTAATGGTTAAATATGCCTTGTAGTCCAAAGAGGCGGACTGATTCCCCATTTGTGGAGAGGGGTCTGACTGCGGCGCGCAGTAAAATGGGCCCCGCCCCTTGAATCATTCTTCACTACTGTTGGTGGCTTCATTGCTACTACGCCAACCCAATTTAGGCATAGTAGCCATAACCCTAAACCTAATCCTAACCCTAACCCTAATCCTGACCTTTTTTTGTGACGTCTTACGTTTCTACTCCTCGCGCTATTCTGTGTGATTTTGAGAGCTTCTTGTTACACAAGGGCGGGTCGATCAGATACGTTGTACTGCAGCCCGGGGGGCACGGAAGGACTGTGCGTGCACAAGCTCGATCTTCATCAGCTCCCTTTTACTGCACGCCGCAATCAGACACACTTGCATTTGTGGAGTCCAAGCACTACATTTCTCAACTAATGGATTTCTCGCAATTTCTGAATAAAAAAACAAAGGAAAGTTTTGGAATCAGCAGAATGGGGAGGAAGTGTGTGCTTGTGTCTGTACCTCAGGGTGTGTTACTTGGAGAAGGTTAGGAGGGTGGTAGCTGGTGGTCAAGGCTTGAGACTCAAGAGTGCTCGAGTCCTGAAGCTGCTGCACTGAAGTGAAGTTCGTCTGCTGGGTGAAGCCTTCAGGAAGAGTGAAACCTGTGAAGGGGAAAGCACATATACCGGTAAATCAGGCTCACCATGCTCAAGCTATGATGATTTAGTAAGTCATTAAACTTTAGTACCAAAGTGCAGTTACATTTAAAGGTACAATATGTAACCGTTTTAGCCACTAGGTGTCGTTATGAAATAAAAATAATAGGGAAAAAGCAATTTTGAGATCAATTATTTAATGCAATACATATTAGTTTTAAATGCACAGCTGTAGGTGTATCTTTTATTGAGAAGAGGTGTGTATGAGAGTTACCTTGGCTCATAGCTGGCTGTTCAAATGTTTGCTGAGGCAGTGCTGGTGTCTCAAATTGAGGAAGAGCATGTTGGGAACTCACATAAGATCCTGTGGATGAAATATATTTATTATATTAATATATTTGTTATATATTGTATACTGCTCTTGTTTAATTAATCATCAAGTCTGGGGCCTTTTTTAGCAGTTTTGATTACTTTACAATTTGCTCTGATGAATTACCTTTTGAATTACATTTTTTTTGTGGCAATGTATTATATAATTTTTTTGTGTACAACCCCACCTTCTTTTTTACAAATATTTTTTATCATTTCATTACACAATAGTTCCAAAACAAACCTGCAATTGTACAAAAAATATAATTCAGAGCAATAATTAACAAAAGTTCATAAATCCTCCAAAAGCAAAGAAAAGGTCAAAACAAATTAAAAATTGTATTAAAATACCAGGCAAACCTCACTTAAACCTTGGAACAAGTTAACTATGTCACATGCTTTTTTTGAGCCAAAACTTCAAAAAATATCCCTGGTCTTCCAACGGTTAACTCTTCTTTTCACCACTAGATGACACTAATTGTGTTTTAATTTGAATTACCTTGCAAATTATGCATCAAATTTACATTTATGCATTTGGCAGATGATTTTATCCAAAGCAACTTACATTTGAAAGAATGAACACATTTTTTTTAATTTTTATTTTTTAGTCATTGCTTTCCCTGGGATTTGAACCCACGACCTTTGTGTTGTTAACTCAATGCTCTACCAACTGAGATGAAACAATAGGCTGCGATGGACTGGTGACAGAAAGTTGTTAATAACTGACCGATGGAGTGTCTGATCGGGATCAAACCTGCCATGAGTGTTTAGAGTACATGTCTAAACAACCTACAGTGTCAGTTTTCACACCCCCTAGTGGCAACATGGAATAATTTGAAGAATTTAGTCGAAATTTCAAACATGGTTCCAAAATTTGGAATTTTGCAACCATGACCTACAAAAAGGTCAATTGGTACTAGTTTCCAAACCTGACTGGACATCCGTTACTTTGTAAAAAATAAAAATAAATAATCCCTTTGAACAGTAAGTTGTTACAACTCAGGCCTATAAACAATTACAAAGTATGTTACAAGTCCATGTCTGAACTCTTACACATAGAATCTATTGAATCAGTTAGAGTGTCCCTGGGTGGCAACAGGAATTATAATCAATTATGTACTTCTTTTACCAATTCTGGCATGTGTGACAATAATATGATCCAAAATAATAACAGAAAAGTTTTCAGTTTCAATCATAGCACCACCTAGAGGTCATGAGAACTTATTTTCTGTTTTTACGGCCTATTTGCATCCTATTTTTCTGAACGGTTCTTTCTTGAATAATGCAACAAATTGCACACAAGGGGGACAATGCCTGAGGTGTTGCACTCTCTTAAATTATTAAAATTATTTAATGAACAACTTCTTGAAACAGCAACATCCTAACAAAGACCGGTTAATTTTAACAATTAATTAGTGTATAAAACCATGATTTTTGCTGTATTTTTGCTCATGTCCCTCTTACCTGTTTCCTGCAGAGCTTCTTCCTCCAGCGTAGTTTGCAGAGTCACCTGTTGCCCATCTGCCACCCCCTCCAGCATGCTCTGAGCCCCTGTAGCATCCACAGAGCCGCTCGGCTGCAGGTCACTGGAGCTCTGCTGCTGGAGTTGTTGAGCCAGTTCATACCTGAGACACACACATACATCCTCGTTTCTACAGAACATCGCTCTATCCTTTGCCGAGGATTGATTAACCTGTTCCCTTGGAAAAGGCTGGTCCGTCTCTTGTTTCTGTTTATCACAGATGTTAACCTAAGTTAAGGTGTTTCCTTCTGGAGCTTATAAATATACAAATAGAACGTGCTTCACTGGTTACTGAAGAAATTCCTGTACAAATTTAAATGCTTGAGTGAACAACAAAAAAGTAACGCACGATTTCCAAACTTAATTTAACCATGTAATGGGTATCATTTTTTGGGGGTGGAGGACATGTTATAGACCACCCAGATAAGTGCACAATGACTAGGCAACAGTGTGCCACTGCTTTTGACGTTTTCATATGTTTCATATGCCGTTAAAACAAATTTCACGTTTCATATGCCGTTGCTTCATAAATAAAAAAAATCTGTATAACGTAAAATTAAAATTGATAATTGCAATGTTGACCATTTAAATCGTCTATTTAAAGTACTAATGTTTTATCAGTATATTTTTGATTTGCTGCAATGGACTGGTGACCTGTACAGGGTGTTCCCCCGCCTCTCGCCTGATGTGAGCTGGAGATAGGCACCAGCAGACCCCAGTGACCCCAAAAAGGGAATAAGTCGGTTGGAAAATGAATGAATGAATGAATGAATTTTTTATTTAAAAATGAATACATTTTTGCCTAAATACTGTTTCTCTGTATTTTGTCTATATTTCCATTTTAAAAAAATTTAAGTTGTGGATACCTAAATTACAATTCGAATTCTTTTGTGTTTAATATGTTTAATGTTTCTGTGTAAACCTTGTTGTATTAAGTGTAAAGTTGAAGCACAAAAAAGTTTTGATTGACTTGCTAAAAAATGTCAAAGCTCTAAAAAGTGCCTTATTTAAAAAAAAATAAAAAATAAATAAAAGTACCGTATTTTTCACCGTATAAGACACATGTATTATGACCGTATTATACGGCGAATGCAGAGAGCCGCGGAGCGGAGGGCGGTCACGGCCGTAGGAGAGGCGTAAGAGAGGCTGCGGCTTCAGCCTAGCTCCTGTTTGGTAAAAAATATACCGTTTTCAATTGATAATAGACACTGGAGACCGTTTGAGAGAGAACACAGCAAATGCGGCTATTTATTGTAAAGATTTAGCAGTCTCAACGCAATTCCTACACACGTGTTATACGCATTGGAAGAAGAACCTCGAGCCTCTCAAAGTAAGACAAGCACTGTAAGAAGGGCAGGACTGAAGTATGATGTGTCTCTTAAAAGTTTCTCAAATTACATTTCTCTAAATGACCACTAGGTGGTAGTATTATATAGGAAAATCCCCATCACACTCCGGAGCCATCGGTGCGCGCTAAGGTCATCGCCCATCTCTGCTCGGATCGTAAGGAGCAGGTATGAAACATTACAGCCTTTTTAGTTAATTTTACTGTTTACTGACTGTTCATGTTACATGTTTGGCATATAATTGTTCTTAAACTGCTGTTAACTTTTACACAGTTAATATTGAATATTTTACTACAGTATTTGGTTCAGAATCTTTTTTTTCTAGATCTTCCTCATTTAAAATTGGGTGCGTCTTAACCTCTTAAGCCCTGAGGCCTATTTTCCGAAAATCCTATACTTTTACTTTTTAAGGCATTTCTCAGCTTTTACAAGGTCTAAACTGCAAATCTTAGTATCAAAATGAAGATAGGTTCTTGGGGAGTGGTGTGGATGAGTTAATTTGACAGTCAAGAACACTGGGTAAGAGTAATTGATGTTGGAATGGCCAAAAAATGAACTCCGCCTAAAAAAAAACACATGTTTCCTCCAATATCTCCTTATTTTACTTATAACGAAGCAAATAAACACAATCAATTGTAACCACTACATGTCAAGAACATCTGTAGCAAGTTTGGTGTTCATACTACAAGAAACTAATATTCTGTAAAGGTTTTGATTGAACAAAGTTCAGGCGTAATCCATGTTGGCACAGTTTGGCACAATTTGGCACAATAATTGAAATATGGAAAAAATCTTGTCCAAAGCTTCAGCTACGTTCATAGTCTTGTTTTCTTGCTTATGGGACATGATTTCAGCAAAAAAAACTCCTAAAGAAACGCTGTAAAAGGGGGGTAGAAGCTCATTTACACCATCTTGCTGCGCTTTTGGGAACATTTCATTCACAAACGCTTTCGACGTCGAGCTTCTGCGTGTCCCTACCCCCCGACCATCTGTCCAATCCGGGAGCTCTATACATCGCTGGAAAGCTCTGATTCTGAGGAAACCAATCAGCTCAACCATTTTGAGACTGACGGGATCGCCGACGAATCACACGACGCGCAGCGTGGAGAGACGTGCTCTTACGCACGGGGAGTCATTCCATATTTGGTGACGTAAGAGGAGCACTGGAGCAACAGAAAAAACACAAAATGGACTTTTCGCGAAGCTATCGACCGGACATAACAACAAACGGACTTTTATCGCTATGGAAATAACTTTTTGTTGAAAAAACGGCAAAGGTAAGACAAGATTTACATGCTTGCTTGGTTTTTGCTGGCGTTTTTTCGTGGAACTTTCGCTCCCTGCTCTGAAATACTTCATGCAATGTAAATGAGTTGCATATCGCTGGATTCAGCTGGTTGTTAGCTTTCATTTAATGTAATGGTTTGGGTGTTTCCGTTTATATTGTGGATACATATCGCACATAAACAAAAACGTGGTCATGAATTATACTCCGGACATGTTGTTGTTTATTTGCATGGCGTTCGAGCTGTGGTTCACGAATATGAAATTGAATTAGATACGTTTTTAGAGGAGTTTCCGCTGAACACAACAGTATTTAATATGTGTGGGTTATTCTCAGGGTTAGTGAGCTATGAGTGAAAATGTAACGCACAAGGGGGCAAGTCCCCGGTACCGGGGACTCTCGGGCTTAAGAGGTTAAATACCGGTGCGTCTTACACGGCGAAAAATACGATATTCAAAAATGCAGATTTTTGATTTACAAGGATAATTATAATCCGAATAAAATACACAAGACTTAAGCAGATGCAGAAAATGCCACGGGCAATACATTTAATTTGTGCTACATTTTTGTCTTGTCCACTCAAACATATATATATTTGTGAACATTTCCACTTAATAAATGTTATTTTTTCCTCTAGAAAAACTATTTAAAAACCCAATTTAACAAAAAAAAAATAGTTAGATTTGAGCATGAACATTTTTGCCCAACGAGCTTTCCCAGACCATGTTTGAAAAGCGTATCTCTTCAATGATAAGAGATGAAGTGCTCTTGAACATTCACCTGTGGGTTCTCATGTGCTTTCTGCAGTTGGGGGAGGATTTGAAGGTTTTCTGGCAGTAGGGGCACATGTAGGGTCTGATGTCACTGTGAGTGGTCATGTGACGTCGCAGGCTACCACTGGTGGTAAAGGTGGTGTCACACATCACACACTTGAAGGCTTTAAGGCCGGAGTGTGTGTTGACGTGAGCTTTTAGAACTCCAGATGAAGCAAAGCCTTTACTGCACTGCAGGCACTTAAACGGACGCTCGCCTGTGTGCGACCTGGAACATACAGCAAAAACAATTAACACCAACAGACTTTGATATTTCACACAAGTGCATCTTGTTACCAGGTACAAAGCCCTTGTATTTGAGTGGATTTAAACAGTTTGACAATGCTCAAGAACAATAACGACTTACATTTTACCAATCAAAAAGAGTGTTGGGACTTGACTGTCTAGAAATATCTAGCGATACACTTTTGATGTAATACCCCAAAAAGCACCAGCTCCTATGTACTATACTATTTTTTTTTGTCTCGCGATAGTTTAAAGGTCTCTACACACCTATCCAAATTTTCTGGTCGGAGTTTCGCGGGAGTACGCACCTCGATCGAAAACCATGGGCACCAATAGGACTTTACACATCTGACCGAACAATATTTCAGAGTACCTTCCTCAACAGGATCCCTATATTTTGTAGCAGTGTGTTAAGGCCTTAAGAGTTTGCTAGTGCACCTATGCTAAAAATTCTAGACCTCTCCATGATTTCTT